AAAAAGAAATTAGCCGATTTCTTCCAATATGTCTTAAGTTTCAGCTGTCAAGATTACTGCCTGGTACCTTTGGGTGGAGGATACATGCACCTAGTGGAATAGTCAAGATACATGCATGTTGGGTTGAAGGCACCTTAGTCTTATAGAATTGTCAAATCAGAATATTTAGTATGATGTATCATGTGTTCTTGAACACTCGTAGAACTAATTCTGTTTTCCAACCATTAGTTGACTCTATCAAAAGAATATCAAGTTGAAGCTAGTTGAGATGTAGGTAGAATATCTATTAACCAACTTATCTCCATGTAGTTCTATTCAGTTCCATTTCATCCAATATTGTATAATTTACCTTAAAACTACAAGTCCGATGTGTTCCACACTTTCAGGAATATAAAAGTCTAACACTGTGCCTATTATCAGCTAACAAGTAACAACTCTCTATTTCAAATAGCTGGCATTGCCTACATGGATCATTTACTTTTGTTAGGTTACGGTCTTAGTTAAGTTCTACCAGAGATATTGCACGTCCTTTAGGATAACTCATCTCCTTGTGATTTTAGGTGTACTTTGCTTATTTGAAATGATGCAAGGTTTTATTACTTTTTTTTTCTAAGAGATTTTCATTGTATATGTATCCACCAAAAGAATAATACGAAGAAAAAAAATGAGAGAGGAAGAAACAGATCTGCTTCCAAGTTGTGACATAATTTTATCGAAAAGAAAAAGAATATTCAGAGGCCCAGGTGCCACTGAGTTAACTCGCCATTCTTCTCTTCTTTAGACAAGCCTGATAAGGAAAGCTGATTCTTAACAATGTGTTGGGCATCAAAGGTTTTCTTTTGTTCTCCTTCAAAATGCACATAGGTAAGGTACTTATTCATAGTACAATTATTTGGCATATATTGTAGTTACACACGTGCTTGTGTACTTGTTCTACTAAAATGTTGTTATGACTTTGTAAGCTAGGTTAAATATCACAGAACATGGTGCATCTTTCATTTGGAGCATGAACTTGTGTTTCACTCTTGGTCAAGTTATGTGTAAAAGGTATTCTGACATTCATGTCAGCTAGTTTGCAGGTTTTTACAGATAATAGAGCAGAGGCAATGAAACTGCCGTAACAATGTCTGGTACTCTTTTCTAAAAGTAGTATGCCATGCTCTCAAGTATAACTAGAAGTGCTTGTAGACTGTGCCTCAACAAAATGTGAAATCTCTGTCGTGTGTGAAATCATTTCAGCTACCTAGTGTTCTTTAGTTGAGGCTTCATGCTTGCTTCAGTTAGAAGGTGGTTCACCTTGAGGTGTATCCTTGTCAATTACATAATTATGTATTTTACCCATTGGTTTTTCTCTATCGGGAGATTGTTTTTAAGGAAAAGAACACGATTTGTTGTAACAATTTACGCAAGCTATATTTGCAGAACATGGTCAGTCATTTATGATGACGTGCTTAATTATTCTCAACATATTCTGAGACTCTCCTTTTCAGCTTAAGTTGATGGCTTCTTTTATGTCAAAACATGATTGAAGGACATGAGTGGCCTTTGAATTCAGTTTTTGGGAATTCGATTTTGAAGAAAAGTTGCATGTTCCAATTACTTTTTGAGAAACCTAGTTTATGTTTTTTGTTAAAAAAAAAAACCAATTTTGCTGGATTTTACTTTTTAGAAAGAAAAACTAGGTTTGATATTTGAAAAAAGAAATGTTGCGCTTATTTTCTTGCTAGTGCAATAGTAATAATAACTAATAAGGCAGAGAGATACGAGGGAGTGTAGAAAGTAAAAAAAAAATTCAATTCAATTAGGCCTCCAAAAATATTTTAAAGGGAATTGCATTACATGATGTTTGGCTGGATGAGAGAAATAAATAGTGGTTAAAAGACAAAAACGCATATTCGGGCAGCGACTGCAGCAAAATAGCTGTCGGTGAGCGAGTTCCAGTTGGTCACCCCATGTGCCGACATCTTCAATTTTGTTATGGTCATAGCTCATACATACAACACGTTTAAACCACAATAATTAGGCAAATTTATAGCAGTAGTGCTTATGCATAAAAATCAAATACACTCGAGAATGGTAAAAAGAATTACACGAGGGGAAAATAATAATACAACGTAATGGACTGGACTGACTGACTATATGATGAAGATAAAAGTAATTCACTTTATACATTTACGTACGTACTCCATGTGAACTCCGATCTATTATTAATATATAAAAACAAAACGACTCAAATCAATCAATGAATTAACCAACATCACAGTGGGAATAGTAGAGTAATAATACATCAGTTGTTCCTGATTAAGTTGTCATCGAAGTTCCTGGAGTAGTCATACCGGAAGGTTTGAGGTAGACCCATATTGTTGCCGGAGCCGGTGAACCTCCGCAGCTCCGACCTTATTTTGAAAAATACGTGCCTCCAGCTGCCCTTGCTGTTGCATCCCAATACGGCTTTCTCCTCTTCATTCATTTCCAGATCGTTGGCAAAGGCTGGCTTCTTGGACATGATCCAGCCCAATCCCCAATCCCACCATTTCCTAATGGAATTACCAGTGTATTCGGACAAGGATTTGGATCGGCGAAATGCCCATGAGGATGAGGAGGTAGAGGAGTAGAATGAGAGGATGGGTTGTTGTTGTTGACAAGTAGACCTCATGCGCATGTTCATCCTTAGAGAGAGAGAAGACAGCCTTTTGCGCACGCCAAGTCCTTCTCCTCTTTCTTCTTCTGTAGGTTGCGACATGGGCAGAGCTTCTTTGCTCTGAAAACTTTGAAGAAGAGAGCTCATATTCGTGTCGGTGAAGAGAAAGAACGCAAAACTTGGGGGCATATAGTATAGTATTGGTAATAGCCTAATTACTTTACTAATAAACAAGGTGAGTGGTCATCACTCATTCACCGTCACCCGCACATTCCTACGTTTCCATCGACAGCCTGTTATATTCTCCTATGACTCTTTTGCCCCTCCCTGGCCCCAGGCTGTTCAGGGAATAATTGTATATCTATTTACCATGAGTATTAACGTTATTGTCGAAACATTATTCCCAAGTCATCTTTGACACCTAATTCTGTTCCATTTCAACTTGTACACCCAAAGTCACATTACGATACATGAGTCCCAAACAGAACAACTAAGCTTCAATATTATCTCTCCTGCTGTTATTGTTCTAACAAATGGAAAGACCAACAATTTTCCCTGTGCCCCGACTAAATTCCTTCCCCATTCCAACATAATATGTTTGCTGACATAGACCAAATGATGCCCCTTGTATTGATGAAAATCTGCCAAAGTTTCTTACAGTGTAAAAAGAGATCATTTATGGTCTCTGCCTCACATTCACAAAAAAACATCTACAGCACAAATGGAGGCCCTTCTTCATACGGTTATCCTGTGTGAGAACAACCTGTTTTGCTAATAGCCAAGTAAAACAGGCCACCTTAATTTTCCAGATCATTTTTCATGGCCAGTAGCTTGGTTGAGTGTGTGTCCTCTGGGAGTTTCTGTAAGATGCTCCAACTGAGAATCTCCCATGTTTATCTAGAGCCCATAATAGTTTGTTTTCACTGTTATTGAGTTCCTTGCATCATTCCAGGATATTCAGAAATTCAACCATGCTATTCACCTACCAATCGTTTAAAGGTCTCCTGAACCTTAAGTTCCAACCCTGAGCATCTCTCATTTCTTTGACAGTGACCACTTTCTGTAGACTTAAGCTGAATAGGTCAAGGAAACTAACTTTGAATGAAGCCTGTCCCACCCAAAACAAAGTTTTCCCACCATATCCTATCTTAAATTATGCACTTGTTTATAAGTTGTGGCCATAGATTCCTAATTGTCCTCCACACTCCGGTGCCATATGGTTGTGTTGCTATGTTGTTGATCCACCTTGTATCCATTCCATACCTGACCTTAATGGTATCTGTCCACAGCATTTGTTCTTGTGATGAAAATCTCCTCAGCCATTTCATTAGCAAGTTGTAGTTTTGTAATTTCAGATTCCTTGTTCCTAGTCCCCCTTTTTTTGTTGACAAACTTCATCCCGCTTGACCAAGTGAAACTTGTGTTTATTAGGATTACAGTTTCCTTGCCAAAGAAAATTTCTTCTAATGCCATCTAATCTGTCTCTTACACTTGCTGGCATAGGGTACACAGACATCATGTAGGTAGGCAAAGCATTAAGAACACAGTTGATGAGAGTAACTCTGCCACCCATGGATAAATAGTTGGCAAGCTTCTTCTCACATTTCTCTAGTATATTATTCTATATGCCTTTTGATTTGCTCTGATCTCCCAGAGGCATTCCCAAATATATTGTGGGCAGCTCCATGTCTTTCATCCCAAAATATTTGCCAGACTGTCAATCCCAGGTACCTCATTCACTGGATAGATGAAACTGCCCCAATTGATGTGTACACTTGAGGTTGCTTCAAACAACTTCAGTATTGTTCTTAAAAACTTCAGTTGGTTGATGTCTGCATCACGCAATATTAGAGTGTCATCTACATATTGGAGATGTGAGATGTGTAGACTCTGTCTATCCTCCATGTGTTTGTTTGGGCTGTTCTTACTATATCATTCAGACCCTCCATTGCCCAGATAAAGAGAGAAGGAGATAATGGATCCCCTTTGTCTCAGGCCTCTCTCAGATGAGAAGAAACTTGTGGGAGAGTCATTAATTAAAACTGAAAATTTCACTATACTGGTGCAAGATTTGATCCAGTTTATCCATCTTTCCCCAAAACCCATGTTTTCCAAATTCTTCCATAGGAAACCCCAATTTAAGTGGTCATAGGCTTTCTCTCTATCCATCTTACAAAGAATGCCTAGGACCTTGCTAATTTGCCTCACATCTACACATTCGTTGGCAATCACAATAGCATCCATGATCTCCCTACCCTAAATAAATTCCATCGGATGCGTATCTACTAGTTTTGAAACGACTTCTTTTCAGCCTCTCAGTAAACACTTTTGAGATGATCTTACATATGCTGCCTATTAAGCTATGAAGGTGGCATTGAAGCTTCTTTCAAAAATGTTCTGATTATGTAAGTTCTGAACTGCTGCCACTAGTTTGCTTACTATTTCCCAGCAATTGGTGAAAAATGTCATGGTGAAACCATCCAGTCCAGGTGCCATCACATATTCTTTGATCTCACCTCACTAAATTAACATTGTATCATTAAATTGTCTTCTTCACTGATAACCGCACCTCATTTATGGTCAGGGGAGGATCTAGGAAGGCTCGTGGGGGTGCCACGCCACCCACAACCTATGACGGAAACATTCTCTATATATATATATATTGTTCCCTATTTCTTTATAGAATTTGTGGAATATGGATTTTATTATTTATTTTCTTTATAATTGATAAAAATTCTCTTGTTAAGACCCTATGAATCGATTAAAACCACAGATTCATACTAGAACAACGATGATTCAATAAAGAATCCTCGGATCATCACTTATTTCCTGAATAAATAGAATCACTAAAAATTCAAAGAAAGATTTTGCTTTTGGTCAAAATATAAATAGGAGTTGAAAGAAAAGAATCTTTCGACTTAGAAATTAAATTTTTTTGATATATATATATATATATAAGTTACTAACATGCCACCTAGACATATAAATTACCAACATGCCACCTAGTGGAACAAAAAACTATGTGGTGCCAGTGGCATAGGATCAAACATTGTACGCGATGGTCTTTGATTCCTAACTCAAGACCTCCCAACATCCGTTTGAATAGTTATCCTACTTCCAAAAATCAGATTTCTACCACCCTGCTCATCTTTCAACAATTAATAAGCAAAAATACATGTTCATTAAACCTGAAGTAGGTAAAATTGAAAGCATCAAAAATTGAATAACATTTCTACCACCTTAGATATTATCTTTACCAACTCAGGGTAAGTAACATCGTTAATAGAACGCAAGTCATTAGCTGCCAAAATAACCTACAAAGACGGAAAAAAAAAATTTCCAACGTCATTACTAGAGGAGAGCTTAATTGAGTTGCGAGAACTCAAATACACCCAATGTCTAATCCAATCTGACGCACCTTCATATAATTATCAAGTCTATGAATATGAAAACTGCTAACTTATGATGAAGCTTTATTCATACTTAATATCTGGTTTATCGAATTTTTAACTATATGGCTATAGCCTCAGAGTTTGTGTCCTGTAACTTCTTAGCCTCATTGGATTGAGGGAATAGAAATAAGAAAATAATGATAGCCTCAAGGCGCTAAATTTCTTTATATACATTTGGAATATGAAACACCTATGAGATTATTATAGATAACTAGGTAATTTTTCCGTACTTAGCGGAGTCATAAATAATAAGTGCATTTGAACTTGCAAATAATTTTTTTCTAATATTCATCTACTAAAATAATGGAAAATAGGTTCATAAAATATATTAGCAATAATTCAACATGGATTGAATTATTTGTCGTTATCACATAACTCAAGAACCTCTAATGAATTAATTATTCACAAAATAAGAATATGTATGCAAAGACATTTCGTGATAAAAAGAAACATATAAATTGCATAGATTATACAATTGTTATATATGTCTTAGGAGAAAAGTAAAAAATTGGTTAATATATTTAAAAAAATAAATTACTCTTGAACATGAAAACAATTATAACTTTTGAATTTGCAAATTTCTTCAATTGATAAGTAAGAAATTTTATATCAATGTAAAAATAGATAATATGTAAGTTTATAGATAGTATTTTTAAGTTATATAATTTAATATAGAATATCAATACATGAATTCTTGAAAGTGAATACAATAATTATTTTCTGCACAATAAATATACGTAATATATAAGTATATGTTCAATCTAACCGGAGATAATAACTTTGCAAAAACATAAACAACAAAGTTTAGAATATATACTAAAAAACAACAATTAATATCATATGCATAATATATTGAGTGTAAAAAACATACCAGAAGAAAATAAAATTTTTTGTTGTTTAAAATGAGAGAAAATCTTACTATTCATAGACAAAGGGTAGTGTGGATTAATCTTTATTGTACCTTATGAGAAATGTTACAACTATTTGGAAAAGTTATAACCCTTCGTAAAGTTCACAATCTTACATAAAAATCGCAACTTTTCATTAAGTCACAACTCTTCATTAAAACTGCAACTTTTGATAAAAGTCGTCACTTTTAATAAAAGTCGCAACTCTTCATTAAAATTTCAACTTTTCATAAAAGTCATATCTTTTCGTGAAAGAGAAAGCTAGTTTTGGAAATAAATAAATTTAAAACGAAATTCTTGTTTGTGGTGGCGCTACGTAGGCGGGCATAAGATTCTATTTTATATAAATATAGGATTGAATACTCTATTACTCTTCGTAGGTAATTGCATTTTTGTGTAGATTCTTTACTTTATGATGAACCACTTCTACGAGGCTCCCTAAATTTATCAATACAAATTATTACCTTATGAAGAAGAAAAAAAGTGCCACAAGTACAATTGAGGCATAAGAGTATATCACAGAACACCTATTCACCTAATGTTTTACTGATAAATAAACCACATCCCTTTGACTGAATGCAGCTAAGAAAAGAGCATTAGAAGAGGATAAATTAACTCTCTTAGATACAGAAAACAGCATGTTAAAATATTTAGTGTTGTTAACTATAATCAATATCTACAGAACTGAGGATAATAAAGATGCCTGTAAAATGGCAACTTTACTACTATAAAAAAAAATGCCTATAAAATGGCGTTTTAAACTTGCAATGTAATTAAAATAGATTATGTAATCTATCTTTTCTATTTCAGTTTAGTGAACACTGAACTCTAGAAAATTTCTATTTTATGTGCAAGAGAGAAACAAGACTCCCAAGTAACCTGTGTCCCATGACGAAGTAAATCTCTCGTAAATGGCAGAATGCCCAGAATAATATCTGCACCAGAATTATCCAAAGATTACAGTCTGTGTAGTAAGCAAGTTAGTGAACCAGCATACATCAAACGCATGGGCGGAGCCAGAAATTTCACAAAGGGTGTCCAGAAATAGAACAATATAAGCACTTTTCAAAAAAAGAACTAGTTAAATTCGAACACACAAGAACTTCCTCTTTCCAAGAAGGTGAAACCACTGGGTTATAACAGTTTGATATGTTAAAGGGTGTCTAAAATATGTTATTTATTCATTTTGTGTATCATATTACTGGTATATACCATATTTTTTTCCGACGAAGGGTGTCCTACCACCATAAACACATCGGGATATTTGTCATAAACAAGTAAAACATAAAGCTCAGTGGAAAACATAAGTTTCACATATGGTTGACTACTAACTAGCCTTTTTCATGATTTTCTGCTCCATTTGTTATGAAAGAATATTTGTCTAAACAAATAAAAGCATAAAGCCCAGGGGAAAAGATAACTCTCACATATGGTTTTAGCTACTAACCTTTTTCCATGATTCTCTGCTACATTTTGTTATGAAAGTATCCAAGTCATCAATAACCCAAGGTCGAGGAATGAGGTTTTGGCAACTAGCTAAAAAAAAATGCCATCCCTTGAGAATAGCTCCGCAAGCTTCAAAAAACCATTAATTAAGAACAATTGATTCAACCTTGAAAATATTCATTTTCTAAATGCTAGTTGTGATTTAAGCAAGATTAAGGGGTATCAATCTATCAAAGGGCATGGCATACCTCAGCATAGTCATGGCAAGTCAGAGGTACAATTTAATGTTAAGTACATATAAATTTCTTTATATATGAGTCATCTTTGAAACATTGCCTAGCTGTGCCGAGCCAAGATCAAATAGGTTACCAGCAAAAATCCCTTTGACCAAGTTCTCCATACGCTTAGCTTCATCCTCGATAGCATCATTTAGCTGTACTACATCCTCAAATAAGGATATAGCCTTTGCATTTTCTTCGTCCTAGTTAATTTACATAAGCCCATCAACAAAAAACAGTCAAATCTTTTACATTTTGGTTCATGTTGGTTAACAGGTTAAAAAACAACAAAATTATTTTCAAATGAGCAATGAACTTATTGATTTGACCTAAAAGTTGATCCGAGAAAATTCTTACAGGAAATTGGGTTTGGTTATTTGAACAATAAGGGATGCTCACATCAACAACTGAGACCAAAGTGTGTGTTGCATAGTCATACATGAAGTGCTGGTTTATGGACAGAGATACTTTCCTTGAAAAAATATCTAAATAATGTTTGGTTATAAATTGGAACAATTTTTTGGTTAGTTTTTGAAGATGCTTTTGTGTGCTTGGAGAACTGATTTGACCTCTTTTTCAGTAAATTTTTTGGTTAGTTTTTGAAGATGCGTTTGTGTGCTTGGAGAACTGTGTGTGTGTGTGTGTGTTGCCTACCCAATGTTTTTTCTCGTCATTACTTGCATATTACATGGAACTGTTCTTCAATGATTATGAAATATCCATGTTGTTTATTCGTACAGCAGAAAGATGTTGCAGAGATTTCCAACTGCTCTGCGGCCTTCACTTATATATACAATACTACAAGACAAGACGAGCTCAAGGTTGCTTCAATACAACTTGCTCACAATTCCTCTCTCGAAGCATCATCTCTTTGATACTGAATATAAGATGCATATGTTTTGATTATTGATTCATAAACATCAATACCTTTCAGATACTCATCCTTGTTCAAGAACTGCAGCAAAAGAGAATGCATATTAACCATAGGCCAAAGTCAGGATTTCCACCACATAAAACAAAACTATTTAAACAAGTGAACAAAATTTACAAGTCGAATCAAATTTACATCATTTCTACGGTCAAGCAAGACTTTAGCCTCCTCTAAGTGTTTGCTTATATTCACCAAACAGTTGATCCGGTAAACAGTAACCATTGCTGTAGCATTGCACTCTGCTTCCTTTCTTTTGGAGTTCTCAACTTATTCTTTTGATTTTCTCATATTAATAGTATATTTAATAGGTTTAGAAGACTCTGGGTGTATGCACACACAAAACTACCATGTGGCACCAAATAAGCGAATATTAAGTAATGCTCACCTCATTGTGGTCGTGAAGAAGAATGGGAGTGTTTGCCATCGGAGAAAATCCTATTGCTGGCAGGCCTCGCTCTCGAAAATAGCGTGCATCTGTTGATGCAGGAAATATTTCTGGTTTTCCAAGTCTGGCATTAGCTTTGATGATAGCTTCTTCAAACAGTGCCCACCAGATATTGGAACTGTCAACAGCTGTAACAGCTGGCCTTCCTAACTTGTCGTTCACACTCACCTTTTGTTTGAACTGTCCAAGAGCAAGGGCATTGTATAATCTCTTAAATTAGTAATGTATTGCACTTCAAAATATTGTTCAAATAGACTGGTGATACGAAGTTAAACAATAACCAGTGGGAATTCTATCAAATAGTACAACTAAAG